CAGACATGGTGCTGGAGAAGGAGCTGAGAGTTCTACATCTTGATCCACAAGCAAGAGGAAGTAGAACTGTGTCACTGGCATAGCTTGAGCACAGGAGACCTCAAAGCCCACCCCACAGTGACGCACTTCCTCCAACAAGGCCACGCCTCCTCATAGTGCCACTCCTTCTTTCAAACCACCATGTGAGTCTTCTGGCTTTGACCTTTTTCAAGATTCTTGTGGCCATTCAGGGTACTCTAAGAGTCCATGTAAATTTAAGGATGGCCTTATCTACTTCTAAAAAATTACCTTGTATTTTTATGTGACTTTCATTCATTTGTAGGTTGCTTTGAGTAATGTTGCTATTTTACAATATGACATCTTCTAATACATGAAAACATCATACATTTCCATTTATTTATGTCTTTAACTTTTTCAGCGATGTTTTAACATTCATTGTACAAATCTTTTACATCTCTGAGTCAATTTCCAAGAATTTTACTTTTTGGAAAGACTGTAGTTTGAGTATGGATAGTGTCTCCCAGAGATCCATGTATTAAAGATTTGGTCTCTGGGATGGTGTGATTGAAAGGTGGTAAAACCTTCTAGAAGTAGGGCCTGGTAGAAGGTCCTTGGGTTATTACATCTTTGAAGAGGACTGTGGGACTCCAGCCTCTTGTGTTATCCCTGCTTTCTGATTCAATATATAAACAGTTTGATCCATCAAAAACTTTCACTTTTGATGATTCCCTCAACAGATACCCAAGGGAACTGAGCCTTTTGGAGCCTCCAAAACCATGAGCGGAAATAGTCCATTCTTTTATTCAAGTTAATAGCCTCAGATGTTCCATTATAATAATATATTTGATTTATATAGCAAATAAAATTGCTTTTGTAGTTTGTTTTTCAGATTATTTATTTTTAATGCTCAGAAATAAAATTGATCTTTGTGAAAAGAACTTGTTTGTTGCTACCTTGCTGGGTTTTTCTATTCATTATAATAATCTTCTGTGGAATATTTAGGGTTTTAAAGTCCAAAATAAGCTGCAAAGAAACAATTTTATTTTTCTTTCCAATGTGGATTATTTTATTTTGTTATTCTATGTTTGCATAAATTTCCTAGCTAGAAATTCTAGTGCATGGTTAAGTAGAGGTGGCGAAAGTAGGCATTTCTGCCCTGTTTCAGTCTTTGAGGAGAGATGTCAGGCATCATTGAATGTGATATTACTGTGTGGATTTTAGTATCTGGCTTTTACTATGTTGAACAACATGAAAAGGATTGGTGTTAGTTCCAATTCCAGTTTTTGGCAGAATCCACCAGGAAAACTGTTGGTCCCAGAACCTTTCATTGTGAAGACCTGTTTGTGTCAATCGATGGCTTTGCTGTTTATTGGTCTGTTCAGATTTTCAACTTTGTGAACTAAGTTTGGTAGGCTTTGTGCTTCTAGGAGTTTGTCCAGTTCTAGGTATCAGTTTGTTGGAATACACTCATAGAACTCCCTCATAAATCCTTATTTCTATACAATTGTACTAATATACCCAATTTCATTCCTGATTTTAGTAATTTGAGTCTTGTCTCTTTTTCTATTTACCTATAATTAAAGGTTTTCAATTCCACTCATCTTTTTCAAAGAATCAACTTTTAGGTGTATTGATTTTCTGTCTGTCCATTCTGTTTTATTGACCTCTGGTAATATTTTCTAGCTCCTTCCTTGTACTGACTTTGGCTTTACTTTTTTTTTTTCATTTTTTCTAATTATTTTTGTTCCTTCAGTTATAGATCCAGGTTGTTGATTTGAGGGGATCTGCTGTTGTTTGTTTGTTTGTTTTAATTTTGTACACGTATTTATTATGTGTGTCATAGTGTGTGCATGTGGAGGTCAGAGGCCAACTTGTGGGAGTTGGTTCTTTCCTCCCACCGTGTGGGTTTCAAGGACAGAACTCAGGTGGTCAGGCTTGGTGGGTGGCAAGCGCCTTTATCCACTGAGCCATCTCACTGTTTGTCTGTCTGTCTATCTGTCTGTCTGTCTGTTGAGGCATAGTCTATGTAACCAAGGGATCGAGGCAAAGCCCAGCAGTGTGAAGTTCAGTCTCAGGCGCCTGGGACTCACGATCTTCTGGGCTCCAAAGGATCAAGGCAGTTCTCCTTCTCTGTTGCTGCCACTCACAGCACATACAGCTTGTCCCATGGGATCAGGCTGGCTCCCCTTCACACCTGCTGCCGTCCGTGACGGTAATCCCAGGGTACAGGCATCTTCAAAACGTTGGGGTCTCTGCTGAAACTGGGCTGCACCTACACCAATAGCCTCTCCAGGTCACTCTTCAGGGACTCTAACTGTTCCATATGGTGCCAAGCCTTAACTTTTCTCTACAACCCCTTCAACCCTGGGGTTTCCACTGCAACTGAGGCCGCACCTTCACCAATAGCCTCTCCTGGCTTCTCATGCTGTCAATCCTCAGCTGTTCTCCATGATCCCTTCATGTTGTCAAAACAAGTACCTGGAAGACTTATGCACATTAATAAGTTCAGCTCTCAGCACATGGCACAGCCTTGGCCCCCCCTCTGGACCATAACTTTTGTATGCTGACCTTAAGGAAACACTGGAAGAATTTGCCTCAGTGATGCTGGTCTCTTAATCACAGCTGATTCTTAAGCCTCAGCTGACCATATCTATTGTCCTAGCAAAGCAAAGGTTTTACTTTAGTGATTTTGGTCTCTTGTTAATTACAACCATGTCTTTAGTCCCACCTGACCAGAACCACATACTCTTAATACAAAATATCACTGAAATATTTCCATTAGAGTCTTTACTTCCCTCTGAAATGTCACAAGCCAGGCCTCTGTAGTATACACTGCTCTCAGCATGCTTATCTTCCAAGCTCCTACAGAAAAGCTCACAGGGTTCTGAGCACTCAATGGTTTTCCAGTCCAAAGTTCAAATGCTACCTCAGTTCTCCCTAGAACACATACATGGTCAGGTCTATCACAGAAATATCCTATGGACCTGGTATCAATTTTTGTCTTGGTGTCTCTATTGCTATAATAAAATACCATGACCAAAAGCAACTTACAGATAGATGAAAGGGTTTATTTCAGCTTCTACATGGTGGGTTAACTGTGGGAGCCCATTTTCAGGTTCCTAGTGGATTTACCCAGCAGGTCTGCATAGAAAGAATGATTAGGACCATGGGCCTGAGTGCAGGTGTCTGAGATGGTCTGCACTTGGCTATGCTGTGGGGAGGTCTTTTGCTCCACCCCTTGGCGTTTCTATAAACACCTTAGGGCAGAGACAATCAGGGCCCATTGGAATAGGTTCCAGGTCCTCTTGAGGCTATCCTGTATTTTCTATATCTTTATCTCCACACTCTAAACCCTTGTATCTAATATTTCCTACTACTCTCACTCAAGAGCACTCTAGGGAAATGTGGGGGTGGTGGGTAACCTCCCCACAGTTAACCAACCATGCTCCAGTACATGGCCTCACACTCAGAAATATACAGGTAGCACAAATTGTATTTAATAGTTTTTTTAACTGAATGCAAATTTGGGTATGTATGGAGATGGGGTAAGTCTTGGAGGAGATGGGGGAAGATAAGGGGTAAATATGACCTAAATACATTAGATGAAATTCTCAACAAATTAATAAAATATTATATTAAAAATCTCCAAAGAAATAAAATACTTTATTTAATTTTAAAATATGTTGGTATATGCACATGAGTGTAGGTGCCCACAGAGAGCTGAGGAGGGCATTGGATCCCCTAGATCAGGAGTTGTGAGCCACCCAACATAGGTAATAGGAACTGAACTCAGGTCCTCTGCAAGAGCAGCACATGCTTTTATCTACTGACCCATATTTCCAGCTCCCTACTAGAATTCTGTCATACAAAATGAAGAATAAAGAAACCTGAGAACTTAAGATTTGTTGCTGTCTAATTTTGGCTTATGGGTCTTAACTTTAACTGGCTGAGTCATCATCACTCCAACTCAAAAGTTTACTTCATGTGCATGTATGTATACCTGAGGATATGTATGTGTAGCACTTGCATGTAGGTACCCACACAAGCCAGAAGAAGGAGTCTGATTCCTCAGAGCTGGAGTTTCAGATGGTTGTGAGCTACCATGTGAGTGCTGGGAACTGAACTGGATCCTATGAAAGAGAAGTAAGTGCTCTCTCTTAACCACTGGGACACCACTCTAGGCTCTCTCTCTCTCTCTCTCTCTCTCTCTCTCTCTCTCTCTCTCTCTCCCTCCCTCTCTCTCACTTTCTCTTTAATAATTAGTTGCTGCATGCTTAATTCCTAACATCTCTGAAATGTGGTTCAACAATCATTCACTCGTTCACCTAACTAACATTGTCCAAAACAAGAAATCTCCATGGACCAGGTACTTCACTAGCTCCTGGGGCACAGAAGTAAAAGCCGACCCTACCACATATGTCTCACCATCATCTATTTTAAGATGAGGATCTTCTGAGCCGGGGGTGCTGCTTGGTGGCAGAGCACTGGCTTGGCATTCATGTGGCCTGAGTTTCATCCACAGCACTGTCAGAAAGGGGAGGGATCATGACATCTGACATCACAAGTCAACATGCAGAGATTGGCGGGTGGTCAAAGAGAATTCAGAGTGGACAGCTAGCCTGGGAGGTGAATTGTGGGTAAAGCAGTGAAGAAGGATTTATCCAAAGAGGCAACTGACTTCAGGGTGGAAGGGAACACAACATGCAGAAATTAGTCTGCCTTTCACTCATTCAGTAAGTGTTTGATGAGAAGCAGAATGCACTAGACATTGTAGGAACAGTATAGCTGGAGTTCTCTCCAGTCCTGCCTGGCCCATGGGCAGGACAAATCTCTCTCACCCACCAGTCCTGCATCTGCTCAGACCCAACCAGGTAAACACACAGAGGCTTATATTGCTTACAAACTGTATGGCCGTGGCAGACTTCTTGTTATCTGGTTCTTCTATCTTAAATTAACCCATTTCTATAAATCTATACCTTGTCACATGGCTCATGGCTTACCAGTATTTTACATGTTGGTATTCATGATGGTGGCTGGCAGTGTCTTCTTGCCTCAGCCTTCCACCTACCAGAATTCTTCTCCTCCTTGTCCCGCCTACCCTATTGTTCCTGCCTGGCTACTGGCCAATCAGAGTTTTATTTATCAATCAATCATCCACAGCAGAACAGGGTTTATGGAAACAGAAAAGCTTCCTGGCTCCTGAGTTCTTACACTTCAGTTGGGAACCAGACAATCCGCAGAAACAAGTCATTACAAAGTGTGGCATGACAGGAGAATGCTGAGACTGGGAGCAAAGAGCCGTGCTGATAGAGCATCTCAGACTCCTCACTCAAGAGTCATCATTAGGATCTGAAGGATAAGAAGGCACTGCCATGTGAAAAAGCATGGAAGCCTGTGTGCTGTTGCCAACATAAAATGCCCAAGACTGCTGACTTTACAAGAAAAAGGAGGGTCTTGGGGTTCTGAAGCTGTGGGGGTTCACAGTCCTAACAGTACAGTCCATGCTGTGTGAGGGAAGCCATCCTGAGGCTACTTCAAAGGCAAGGGTGCTTAAGGGAGCAAGATTGCATCTCCAGCCAGAGACAGGGACAGAGGAGGGGTCAGGTTTACTTCAGAGGGGTGGGTGAGGACTACCTCAAGCCCTGAGGGCCTTCAAGCAGCCTTCACTTCTTAAAGCTACACCCTTCCAACACCGCTGCTCTGAGGACTAAGTCTCTTAACACATTGGAGTCTCTGGGGGATACCCAAACCAGGAAGACTGTTTCAAAAATGGGAAGCTGGGTCTTCAAAGTCCTTGAAGCAGAAAGCAGCCTGTTTCAAGAACTGCAAAAAACGTGGATGTTTCTAGAGCCTGGTAATTAAAACAAGGAGATATTGTGACTGTAATTCTTGCTTGATAATTGTTTTGTTATATGTAATTTTACTATGTGAAAGTTAAAACCTTCCTTTTTGAAAAAAAAAAAAAGAAAAGGGGAAGTGCTATGGGTATTGCTCTGTATAAATAAAAAACTGATTGGCCAGTAGCCAGGCAGGAAGTATAGGAGGGACAAGCAGGGAAGAGAATTCTGGGAAGCAAAAGGCTGAGGCAGAGAGATGCTGCCAGACGCTGCCATGACAAGCAACATGTAAAAGATACTGGTAAGCCACAAGCCATGTGGCAACTTATAGATTAATAGAAATGGGTTAATTTAAAATATAAGAACTAGATAACAAGAAGCCTGCTGCGGCCATACAGTTTACAAGTAATATAAGTCTCTGTGTGTTTACTCAGTCGGGTCTGAGCAGCTGCAGGACTGGCGGGTGAGAGAGATTTGTCCTGACTGTGGGCCAGGCAGGACCAGGAAAACTCCAGCTACAAGGGGACAATGCAATGGGCTTCTAGAGAGAAAATCTGGGGCCAGCACACTCAGGCCTTGGTGAGCCAAAGTAAAAAGTATGTGATGAACAGAAGAAATAAAAAGAAAGAAAGAACAGTGTGAAGATACAGGTTGGTGTGTGAAATGGTGACCCGTAGTGTGGCCACACACTGTCCATACCCAATGTGAGCTAGCCACCTGGGGGCTTTGGCCATTCCCAACCTACTAATAAACCCTGCCTATTTAGGTCAACCCTGTCTAAAGTGACCCTGGATCATTTGGACAAATGGTCATTTCGACCATTCTAATGAGCTCCTGCAGCAAAACTGAAGAGGATATATTGCAGACAGCAGCTCACCCAGGGGTACCGGGCTGGGCGAAAACAAATTCTTCTGTTCTTACAGTATAAATAGAAATTCAAGACTTGAGAACAGCAAGGACTGCTGGCCAGCAGGAGACGGGCAGACGGCCAATGGTTCATGTTTGGATGACAGGAGAAGAAAGAATAAAATGTAAGTGGAAAACAAGAACTCTCTCTTCAAACAGCTGGGAAACACCCTCTGCTTCCCTTCGCTTCCCAGCTGGGCAGGGCAGCAGCAACGGGACAAGAGGTCAGGAGGAAGCATTCAATCCTGCACGCCCTGCCTGCTACCAGGAGACCTGTTGGGGTGTATGCCACCAGGCCGGATGCCGGAAACGGGAGACACAGAGGATATGGTGCCCAGTCCCTGCCGATGCCAGGGCCTGCCCTGAAGAATGGACGTCAGCAAACAGAAAGCCATTCATGCCCTGCAGCAGCACAGTTCCCATGGCAACCAGCAATTTCCCCTGCAGCTCCACATCCCCTTCTTTTTCTTCTAACAAACTTTCCATTGGGATCCAGTCTACACTTGGATGAAATGTAGGTTGGTAATAGGTGCTGGGTGGGGGTGAAGACGGAAGAGGGTTTTCAAGAATGTGAAGAAGGGACCTGGTTTTCATGGAATGTGAGAAGTGAAAGCCAGGGAAGGCCCTCAGTCCAATCTATAATCAGGCTGTGGGGTTTGGGTTTTGATTTTTGAGTCTATCTTTCTTTCCAGTTCTGACATTTGTCCAAGACTTTCATAGCCAAAGAGACAAATGCTACTGGTCACTTGTCCTTCCTGGCCCTTCCCTAGTCATCACTCTTGATGTCTGGGAGGCATACTACCCTGTCCCATACTGTTCCCAAGCCACTTCTTAATGGCCCTTCTCCCAAATCAGAGCTGGCTGGAGTCCCTCTGCCCTTTCAGTGGCTGCCTGTTAAAAAGAAGGAACAACTCCCTGGGAATGCATGCTGATTCCTGGTCCCATCTCCAGGATTTGTTGTCATTAAGCCTTGAGTGGAGTTACAAAATCTGCATATTTCACAATCACACTAGTTCATGCAGGTTTGGACAGATGCAGTATCTGTTACTTCCCCAGTGGCCAAAATACCTAAGAAAACAACTTAAAGGGAGCAAGATTTGATTGAGGTCACAGTTTCAGAGTTTTTGATACACTGTGGTAAGGAGAGTATGATGGAGCAGTGAGCTCATGTCCTAAAGGTGACTGTGATAGCTAATCATCAACTGAATAGAATCTAGAATCACCTGGGAGATGGGCCTCTGCACATGCCTGTGGAAGATTATCTTGATTGCATCAATTGAAATGAAAGTACCTGCCCACTGTGGGTGGCACCATGCCCTGGCTAGGATCCTGGACTACAGAAGTGGAGAAAGTGAGCTGAGCAGCAGCAGATGTCCATCACTCTCTGCTCCTTGATTATGGATGTGGAATGACTAGTTGCTTCAAGTTCCTATGGTGTAGCCAGAAGGTTCTCCAGGTCCCACCCAGCCCTACAATACCATGTTTCTCTGGTCTTGCCCAGCCCGTGGTCCTGCAACCACTTACAAAAAAAACTACTCAGAGGCTTATATTAATTACCAATTGCATGGCCTATGGCAGGCTTCTTGCCAGCTAGCTCTTATAACTTAACCCATTTCCATTTATCTATAAGTTGCCACGTGGCTATGGCTTACTGGTATCTGCTTGAATTCCCCACCTGCCTCTAAGCTGCCTTTCCATAGGCCAATGCAGCTTTATTTATCCACCAATCAGAGCAACACATATTCACAGCATACAGAAAGACATCCCACAGCCCTACGGCCTTGACTTTCCTCCCCACACAGAGTGCACACTTGATCTGTGAGCTGAAATAAGCTCTTTCTCTCTTGAGTTGCATTATTGGTATATTTTGTCACAGGAAGAAGAAAAGAAGCCGAGATAGCCAGGAAGCAGAGAAAAGGAGTAAAGGGCTAGGGAAAAGATACCTCCAGCGTTATATGTCTGCCACTAGGTCAGCCCCATTTTCTAACTTTTCCAGAACCTCCCAAAACAGCAGCCCCAGCTGGAGACCAAGCTTTTGACACACTTACCCATGGGGGATATTCTTATCCAAACACAGCAGATAGTGAACACACTAGGAAAACACTGCTACCAGGACTTACCTAGCTTTGAACACAGCCAAGGCTACAGGATAAGCAGATGTCCAAGAGGATGTGGCTGGGTCCAGCTGGGTGGCAGTCACATTGGACAACTGGCCCTCTTGTCTGAGGCCCCAAAGATGTACCTCTCTCAAGTCCTTCAGAGTGGGCAGGTACCCTTCAGTCTCTTGACTGACCCCACAATGTTTCATAAGGAGGAGGTCCAGCTCTTTTCCCAGGGAAGTGCATGCTCTCTTCCTTCCTCATGACTACAAACAATGGCGGTCACAGCATGCTTGACTCACGTGGCTTCACTGGTTGTCATTTCTGACTCTGAATGAAGTGAGATCCAGGCAAAGGCAGGTGAAATGAAGCAGAAAATGAACAGGAGTGAGACTGAGAGGAATGCCGCCCCTCCCCCATGCTGGATGCGAGGTCATGTTCTGTGGTCTTGCCTGTTCTTTCTCGTGAAGATTATAGTTTAAATGGGGCAATCTCTGTGGACAGTGAAGCCTTTGACCCAGACATTAGCTGATGTTGAATGCCCTAATTAATAGTAAAGGATTTAAGAACTTTTAAGAAGGAATGTTTCAATCTTCAAATAAATTAGGGGGTGGGCATGATGGTACAGGCCTGTGATTCAAGTAGTTGGGAGGTTAAGACAGGAGAATCAGGAGTTTAAAGCCAGCCTGGGCCATACAACAAGACCCTGTCTAAAAATTAATAATAAACAAACAGAAGTTTCTATGGGGAATGAGCCATCACAGCATACTAAAGTTAATTCAGAGCTGGGCTGAGATGACTTAGTGGGTAAAGGGTCCATACAAGGACCTGAGTCCAGATCCCCTAACACCCACGGAAAAGTCAGCATGCAGTGGTGATCACCTGTAATCCCAGCAGTGGAAAGGCAGAGCCAGAAAGATGCTGGCCAGGCAGTGAAGCCAATTGATGAGCTCCAGGCTCAATGGGAGACCCTATCTGTAAATATATAAGTAAGTAAGTAAATATATAAATATATATATATATATATACATATATATATGAAAATAGAGAAATAAATAAGCAATCTGGAGAGTGAAAAATGACTACACCTGAAGTCGACCCTGACCTCTGACCTCCGCAAAGCTCTTGAACACAAATGCATGCATGTGTGGGCACACACATGTACAGAGAGAGAGAGAGAGAGAGAGAGAGAGAGAGAGAGAGAGAGAGAGAGAG